GTAGGAAACTCTTGTGGGATACTCTTGTAGGACACTCTTGTGGGACACTCTTGTGGCACACTCATATAGGACACTCTTGTGGGACACTCTTAACTCTTGTGAGACACTCTTGTGGGACACGGTTGCGGGACAATGTTGTGGGACACTCTTGTGAGACACTCTTACGGGACACTCTTGTAGGACACTCTTGTGGGACACTCTTGTACGGGACACTCTTGTGGGACACTCTTGTGGGACACTGTTGCGGGACAATTTTGTGGGACACTCTTGTGGGACACTCTTGTGGGACACTCTAGTAGGAAACTCTTGTGGGATACTCTTGTAGGACACTCTTGTGGGACACTCTTGTAGGACACTCTTGTGGGGCACTCCTGTAGGGCACACTCTTCGTACAAGACTTCCTCCAAAAGTCACGCTGCGAGGCTGCAAGACGAGCGTTTCGTACGAGACTTCCTCTAAAAGTCACGCGTCAAGTCTCAAACACGAGCGTTTCGTACGAGACTTCCTCCAAAAGTCACGCCAAGTCTCCAAAACGAGCGTTTCGTACGAGACTGCCTCCAAAAGTCACATGTCAAGTCCCCAAAACGAGCGTTTCGTACGAGACTTCCTCGAAAACTCACATGTCAAAGTCCGCAAAACGAACGTTTCACACGAGGCTTCCTCCAAAAGTCCAGCGGAAACACCCATCGGAGCACACACATCACGCAGCCCTGCCAAGCAGTTTCGCGATTCCAGCCCCTCCAAACGACACCCGCTCACACGCCAATCCCAATGTGACAGCGACATTCACCTCTACCAGAACTCACAACCTCCCGATTCCCTGCCCCTGCCACGAATCTTTCCGCGTCCACACGTCTAACGCGCACAAAGTATACTGCGCCTGCCACGAAATGTCACCTCCGTCACACCTCGCAACCTCACGATTCCCTGCGCCTGCCACGAGAATCGCACTTCCACACCTCAAAAGCCGCACAAAGTCCTGCGCCTGCCACGAAAAGTAACAATGTCATCTCATGTGAGCTTCACCAAAATTTGCACCACACCACACGTTTGGAATGATTTTGACCCGTTCTGAGCACACTCCCAGGGTCCAAAATCGGCATTTCAGCTGAGACTTGTCACGAAAACAGAGCTTCGATGCCATACCCTGAAACGCAAATCCCAATGGCACGGCCACATCCAACACCCCAAAAACACGACTCTCCAAACGCTAATCCCAATGGAACTGCGTAGCAAACTGCGGATCTCACAAAACGCTGCGCCTGTGCAGCGAAATGCATCACGCTTCTTGCGCGACATGTCCTTTTCACGCAAATCACAATGGACTCGCGTCGCAAACTAACACGTGACACATCCATGCATAGTCACTTGCAAAAGCTTCCCCCAATGGCAGCGCCTTAGCGACCTACTGCGGACGGTTGCGGACGGTTGCGAACACTTGCGAACGGTTGCGAACGGTTGCGAACATAGAAGCAACGGATCGCGAACAAGGCTCTACCCTGCAGACCCCCAAGAGTTAAACGAGAACCCTTCGCTACGCATTCGGGAAAAAAGGCTTTGATAGAGCCACCACAACTGAATTATATAAACATATACAGTATATATATAATCAACAACCTGTGGATGTTCAGCTGCCACAGTTTTGGGCATCTTCGTTTCACCCGTCTTATACTCATATTCGAATTTGAAGCCAAGATTGGGGACCAGATCAAGCACTCAGAAGTACGAAAAGTAGCACGTTGCCGTTTCTGCACCCTCCAACAAACTGATCATTGTGACACTCATGAAGCGTCCGCAGTAAATGAGCCGCACATGGCCCGCAACACTCGCAGACTCAGATCCTCCGGAACTGTTGGACAGATGGCTTGTATATGCTTGCAATTTCAAGCTTCTTTGTGAAACTCTTCTGGAGATACAAAATGATAGTGGTTAATGTTTCGACCACGTTCTCCGAAGGTCTCCCGCACGGATCTTCCAGTTCATTCATCACCCTTCAGATTCTTCTCTGCTGCATACCTGCATGGATTTTACAAGCTTGCTGAATGCCGTGTGCAGCACTTTGAATGCATCCAGCTACTCCCTTAAGTAGCCGGATGGAGGCAATGCAATCATGAAGTTGGTACTTCCTGGTTGCTGACACACACACACACACTGATGCAGTGCCAGTGCATGCAAGTATGAGGTTGTGAATCTTCTAGATATTACGTTGTCATGTTCATGTTCGGTACAATTCTGGCAAAAGCATATTGACCAACTTGACAAGTTGACTAAGAAGGTGGCTTTAGACCAAGTTCGTAACACGGTGTGAAGGCAGCTTTCAGGGCACATGTAGTGCAGCTTGTTCACATCCTCGCCAGCAATCACCTGGTGCTCTGTGAGTGGCTTTCTCAGACTCCAGGCCAACGCTTCTCTACAAGGGGCACCAAATGCAATATGACTCAACCCAAACCCGATCTGCTGCGCAGTAGTGTTGGGGTTCACTATGTTTCACTACCTTTCCTGCATGTTTCTGTACTACATGGCAATTTCATACGACCCCTTTCACGAACATGTCGAAGCGGGGAGCCTTGGTCCAGCCCTTCTCGTGAACCTCAGTTGCACATGACCATCCCACATGGTCTCTCAAAGTTGCAAAACGACCATGTCGCATTGGATGTTGGGTTCGAAGCAGTGAACACTGCCACTGGACATGACTCCACTTGGCTCGGGACGTGGTACACGCGTGCCACACCACCGGAGGCACCGTCTCGATGGGTGGCATGGTAGATGGAGCGGCGGCCCAGCTCTACGGCCTGGAGCTATCGCCGTGTCTTCCGACTGAAATGGCCTCCAACCTACTAGCGATGGCCTCCAACCTAATAGCAATGGACCAAACCAGCGAAATATCCAGGCTATGGCTATGACTTGCTGGTCGCAGGCTGAGAAGTTGAACCACGCCAACTACCCCTCGTCAAGACAACCTACAGTACAAAGCATTCTATGCATCAGTGTGGATGGGTGAGGGCGGGTGAGGGCTCTCAATCAATTCTTCGCATGGCTGCATGCAACTTCAATCCACATGTACCTGACCTCGTCATTAGCACTTGTTGGCACATCCAGGATCCCAGAAACCCACCATCAGCAAACCCTTTCCGTGCCTCGTCTACCGTGAGGTCAAAGCGGTACCCAGTGTCGAGAACACCATACGCAAAGGTCGATCCCGAACCAACCTCAGGCGACTTGCGAAACGAGTGAGGTGGTGTCAAAGTCACTGAGTATGAGTATGGCAATGTGTGGCAACTCTGCGCTTTCTCTGTTTTGACATCCCCTTGTGACAAAGGTCAAAGGTTGGACGCCGCTCCATGTTCCACCTTCATTTCACATGGGCAGGGTGATCTGTTGCAGCTTCATTGGCTATTTACGTAACCCTGTGGCTCAGGTCCTTGATGCAAACTGTTTTGGCCTTGCTCATCCAGATCCATAATAGTGTCAGGCTGGCCAATTGCACACATGACTAATTGATTTGTCCAAGTGTCTTGATTGAATCATAACTAATCTTTTTACTGAAGAGAACAACATATAAGCGGTGGTCATTTGGTCGTCCTACTCATTTTGCATCCACCACAGTTGTCAATGTCCACGTGTCCAATCGTTTCCACTGTCGTTCCATTGGACTGCCCAGGGATCTGCACAACCAGACCGCAAACGTTGCCATCTCCGAACGGCTCAGCTTTCTGCAGAGAAGACGTTGCCCTTGTGGCGATCGCCCTGATCATCCACCATGTAAAGGGAGGGGCCCTGCGAGCTCAGACGCCACCGGCCGTGCGTTGATGTGGAAGACCCCGAAAGTTGATGTGTAGCCTTTCAAGAGGTGAAAAAAAAACCCTTGAAGTGGGTGTCTAGCCATTTAGAATCTCCACTAAGATCCATCCGCTGAGATATCTGCATCAGGCCTTCTTGTCCCAGCCAGCCACCATTGTTCCACAGGAGAGGCCTTGACCCCTGTACCTGTCACAAGAGGCTCGTGGTCAACTCACTTTCGACTACACACCCACACGCGTGAAATTGTCAGAGCTTACGGCGAGCAAGGTGCAATGGCTCTGCACAGAATGCGCTGTATATTGCGAGAACAGAAATAGACCGGTACTAGTACGACTTGAGTTTGTCCTTGCAATTCCTGCCTTTGAGAGTGTGACCGGACTTGGATACGGCAAGCTCAAGACACTGAAAGCAGAAAGACATCCCGATTGCGTCAATACCTCTGAAAAAAGGAGGGCACTGCCAGAAGATGTTGGCCAAAAGCTTAGAGGCGGCCGCCACGGAGATCCGCTCCTGGTGTTTCTTCCATCTGAAGTTCTTTTGTTCGACGGCCTCTTTTATGTCCTTTGATTCCCTTCATTCTTTCATGCTGGAGCAGGGAGGGCAGAACAGTAGCCATCCCATCGAATGGGATGCCCATGTCAGGTTTTGACTTGAGTCATCTTGAGTCTGTCATGAAATGCGATAAATGTTGCGGTTTAATAAGAGGACGAGTAGTGATGAGTCCTGGCCATTGCTACCAATCCCCCTAAGGTCCTTCTCCCTAAGCTCGTGCATGCGACATAGCCGATTCAGATGGCGCTCCCAGAACCTGGAAGGATCCCAACCAACAGACACGGGTGAGCTGGCTTTGGCCGAGTACATCTCCAAAACGCAATCCTACTGCAAAGTTTATTTCAAGTATAATATAATATCAATACAATATCTAATTTAACATATAATAATGTACATTATATATATATATGTGTTTTTCACTTGGCATCACCCTTGAGGTCAGTGGCCCAGCCTCACACCAGCTCCCAAATTAAAATAGGCTAAGTATGTCTAAGTTACCAAACTCAAACATATCATCTATGTCTTGTTCATCACGACTCATCAGGCGCCATGTGTAATACATTTGACTCAGACAGCCTTGGCTACCATCCGCACAGCTGGGAGGCCCTGACGAGCCATCAGCGGCGCCACCCGCGATGGTACCAAGCAAGAAGTCATTGATCTCGATGACCTGTTGCGGATGATCGACACCAACCATGCGTTGCACCCAATCAATTCCTGCAGAATGCTGCACGTCATCAACTTTATGTGGATTGCGCCACAAACTGCAAAACAACTCATGGTAAACAACTCATGGTGGAGTGAAGGGGCTTTGGAGGGCATGCCTTGCTCTTCTGAGGTTCGGAGGAATACTTCCAGTGAGAACACTTTACTTATTGGTACTGTTGAAGGATGACACGCACACATCGAGAAGCGTTTCATGAAGACACAAACCATACTCAAGGCCACGAGCTGCCTTTTGTTCAAAAGCCAAAAAAGCTTGGCAGCTGGGAGGGACGGTCGGTTCGCGCCATTTCGCTCGCCGTTCTTGCTGGATTGAAGTTGAAGTTTTTAGGAAAGAAGAAGGGTCCTGACACCGGACACCGTTTGGTCAGGTTATGAGCCCAAGATCTTGCTGAAGTGAGGTCTTGGAATGTCACTGCAACAACACCGTCGTCGAAAGGCGACACAAGAAGAACTAAGGCAGGGACAAAAAGAGATGGAAGCAGCTCAGAAGAGGCTGGAAAGGGAGGCAAGGGAAAGTGGGGAACTCCCCATCGAAGATGAAAGAAAGGAAAAGGCCAATGGCAGTGGTAAGAGGGAAGGGGGTTTGGAGCTCCAATCCATCGCCGAGACTGCACAGGGCACTCCTTCGACGTCGGTTCCAGCTCCCAACGAAGACAGCCGGACGAGAGCTTCCGAATCGTCCAAGACCCCGCAAACCACTGGCAGGACTCCACAACAGACAGCCAGGACTCCTCAGCCGCAGGACCAAAGAAAGATGGCACCAGCTGAAGGAGGCGAAGCTGAAGTCAGGACACCTGCAGAAAGGAAGACCATGGAAGCTTCCACAAAGAAAGAAGAGGTCGAAGGCAAGGGGAATGGTGGGAAAAGGGTGGACCAAGATCTTGAAGAGGACACGACAGAGCCGCTTGTTGTGTCAATGTCAACTCCACCCGACCCACAGCTCCCGTTGTTCACCAGAGAACAGTTGCAAGGACTTCATCATATGTATGAACAAGCTCCAGCACTGTATCCTCAGTTTCAAACCCCATACTCTGTCGCTCGGCCGTCCTTTTTGGAAAAAGAAGAACCAGAAGGGATCAGAAGGTGGAGGATGGAAGAAAGGGAAGAAGAACTAAAGAACTTTGAAGAAAGAATGAGGTTCGAGAGGACCGAAAAGGAGGAGTTGTCACGACAGCTGCAATACCTGATGGTCGAAAACCAAAAACTCAGGACACAAGCTGCCAGTGCCATGACCTCGGAAAAGAAGAAAGAAGAAAGTGAGTGGCTTCGAACACGCCATCTACAACAGGTGATTGAAGAGAATCGCCAACTCAAAGGAAACCTCAAGAAGCTCTCCTCACAGTTGGAGGCTAAGGAAGAAGAAGGTTTCTTCGCCACTCCCAATGAAAGCTTGGGAGTAGAAGAGGAAGAGATCAACCATGGTCCCCATGACCATGAACGAAGAAGCACGCGAAGGGTCAACAGGGAAGGGCAATGGGGGACGCAAGAAGGAACAGTCTTCATCAGATGCACTCCCTCCACAAACCGTGGATGTGATCCTCCGACTGCTCCAAGGAATGCAAGACATCCAGAAGAAGATCGTCAAAAACACAGGAAAAGAAGATGGAGAGAGGGAAGGAAGCCCAGAAGTGGTTCAAAGAGGAGTTGAACTACCTAAGCTTCCAGAATGGTCACCGGAGACTGGTCCCATCGACTTCTCGGATTGGCTCCTGGTGATTCAGCCGCTGATGGGGGATCTCAGCAGCAGCTCTGAAGAATGGTGGCAGGTGGTGGTGGACACCGCAAAGGCATGGTATGTTTCCCACATGGGGAAAACTCCATTGGATCGTTTGCAGCATCATCCTGTCCCTCCACCTCTCTTGGTGCAGAAGAAGTGGCAGCGGCTGGAAAGGAGAGCTTCCTCCTTACTTTTGGCTGCCATCCCTGAAGGGCTAAGGGAGGAGGTTGTTTCATCGAGAAGTTTGACCACCTTGGGAATCCTAACAAAAGGGATGACACAATACCAACCAGGTGGACTGGCAGAAAAGTCTGCCATCTTGGCGGCATTGGAGTCGCCACAAGAAGCACAAACAATTGCTGGAGGGGTCACCACCCTCAGAAGGTGGCTCCGATGGAAGAGGCGGGCAGAAGAGCTTGGGGTGTCCATCCCGGACGCCACCATCCTGGTCAAAGGGTTGGGCCGTTTGATGAAGAAGCTGAGCGCGACACACTCAGACTTGAACTTTCGGCTTCAACTCACAAGAAACCAGCTCATGGTGGATACAATACCAACCCAAGAATCTGTCACAAAGTACTCGCACCACTTGTTGGCTGAATTGGAGACTATGGGCCATCAAGCAAAGAAGAAGGAGGTGACAACAGAACCTCCAAAGTTGAAGAAGTTTGAAGAACAGTCAAAAGACCAAGGTACAAAAGACTACAAGGAGGTTGGGAACAAGGAGAAAAGCAAGTGCCGATTCTACCTCTCCGACAATGGATGCAGAAGAGGCAAGGGATGTTCGTACTCCCACGACCAAAGAGATGAAAAGAGAAGATGTTGGAATTGTGGTGGCACGGACCACATGGCTCCGGCATGCACCAGGCCGAAGGAAGGAAAAGAAAATCCGAAGCCAAAGCTTGCGAAGGCAGAAAAAGGAAAGGATGTGAAAGAGGAAGCAAAGGAACAAGAAGAAGCAAGTGGGTCCATGCAACCGAGTGTGAAAGACCTACTGGAAGAAGCAAACAAAATGTTGAAGTCGTTGAACTCATCTCCCTCGTCATCCACCTCGTCTCCCACAGCTCAGGAAGGAGAAGAAAGAGAAGAAGTCATGGAGAGGTTGCAAAAGCAGCTCAACGCACTTCGCCAGAAGGCATTTCGCCTCATGAGGTTGAAAAAGGGGGAGAGAGCTGGCCTACTGGACAGTGGAGCCACACACCCGCTTCGACCCATCAAACGAGGCGAGAACAAGGAGCTCTACGAGAAGGTCCAAGTTGCTCTGGCCGATGGGCAGACCACGTGGCTCCCTATAACTCCAGGGGGAGTGATGATCACTGAAGACCAAGACATTGAGCCCATCATCCCAATGGGACAACTGACAAAGCAGTTGGATTGCAAGGTCAACTGGTCTCGAGGAAGCTTGGAGGTGATCCATCCTGTCCACGGAAAGCTCCCAGTCGAAGACTGTGAAGGGTGCCCACAAGTCCCAAAGAAAGTGGCCATCCAGCTCATTGATGAGCTAGAACAAGTCAAAAAGGGGATGAAATTCAAGGAGGTGGAAGAGTTTGAAAAGGAGGTGAAATGGTTGAAAGAGCTGGTTGAGAAGCACCCGGTGTTGGCATCGCTCCCAGAAAACATCAAAAAGGAGCTGGTCGTCATGCCCTCAGAAGGATGCCAGCTTCCAGCAAATCGAAGAAAAAAGGAAAAGAATGAAAAGAGATGGATTCATTGTTCACCTGTACGCAGGTCCTGAAGAGGGCTTCACCCTGAGTCGAGCGTGGCAACAGATCGGAGGGAAGGAGGTTGAGCTGCTAGAAATTGATGCGCAGCGAGGTCCCGAACACGACATGCTGAAGTCCAACGGGGCATATCCGGCACTTCTCAAGGCCGTTCTGTCTGGACAGGTTCGAGGGCTGGTCGGAGGACCCAACTGCAGAACGAGATCAGTTCTTCGACATTTTCCAGTACCTGGACCTGATCCACCACGTCCGATCCGAAGATGGGGAGGCGAAGAGTTCGGGATAGAAGAAGCGACCCAAGAAGAAAAACAAAAGCTCTGGGAAGATGATGTTTTGCTTTGGAGAATGGTGTTTTTGGGAATGGTGGCCTCTCATCTACGAAAGGCAAGAAGGGAACCAGACCCTTTCATCTTCTCCATCGAGCAGCCAGCATCACCAAAAGAGTACAAACCCGAAGTGGTGTCATTCTGGGACACATCCCAGTGGGCTTCGCTAAAAGAAGAATTTGAGTGGGAAGAAACGACATTCTCACAACGACCTCTTGGAGGAGCAGCGACAAAGCCAACAACGTTTGGAGGGAACCTCCAACTGGCACCTGAAGATCATGTTCTCAAGTCCATGGACGATCGACAGGTCACCCATTCATGGCAGCTGGCACGATGGCCTCCAGGACTGATGAACATGGTAGCTACAGCCCTACTCACCCAGGCATTCCACCAACAGCCAAAGCTGAAGGCACTGTCCTGGGAAGAGCACTTGGCATTTGGGCACACGCCATCAAGAAGAGACTGCAGAATATGTCAAGAAAACATGCAGCAGTGCAATCCTCACCGTCGAGTTCAACATCCACTAGCTGGAGTCCTGTCGTTGGACACTGCGGGACCCTTAACACCTGCAACAGACCAAGGAGGACAGTTGTCCAGATATTTTTTGGCTGGCGCTTTCACCTGGGCCGTTCCAACAGGATCCAAAAGAATCACGGAGGAGGAACCAGAAGAAGAAGGTGACGAGGAACTGCCAATGATTGAGGCGGAAAGGGAAGAGGAAGAAGATAAAGAAAAAGATGAAGAACCAGGGGAGGTCCAAGAAGATCGAGAGATCTCAGAAGGACACCGAGAAACGATCTCGGATGCAGAAGAAAGAGAAGGAAGGGAGGTGGGTCACCTACAGGAGGAGCTGAGTCCAGGGGGAGATGAAGCTATTCCAATGAAAGGCTCCAAACCTCCAAAAGACTTCGAAATCAAGACCTTCCACCTGGCACTTCCTATGCTCACAAAAAAGTCGCTGGAAGTCACCAAGGCCACTATGGAAATGGTGTTGAGGTTGAGGATGGACGGATACACCGTCAGTCGGATACACTCCGATCAAGGCCATGAATTTTCAGGCCAGTTTGCAGCCTACTGCAGGAAACGGGGAATCATGCTGACCAAAACTGCAGGAGACGAACCCCAGGCGAACGGCCGTGCAGAATCCACGGTAAAACGAGTGAAAACGATGGTTCGGAAGGCACTACACCAAGCTGAAAAAGATGCAAGGTGGTGGCCATGGGCTACAAGGTACATCAACGAGATCCTCCGCTGCCATCGGATGAACGAAGTTCCATCTTTTCCAATGTTTATGGAAAAGATCCTGGTACGGAAACGACGCTGGCAGAGGGATGAGCTGGGACCAACTATGGAAGAAGTGTCCTATCTCGGTCCATCGACCGAGAACCACGGTCACTGGATCGTGAAGGAAGGTGAACGTCCAAGACTCACCCGATGTGTCATGAAGAAGGTGGACCAGAGGCCAACAGAGGGACAATGGATCGCCCTAGAACGTGAACTCTTGGATGGCCTAACCCTCAGAAGAAGGGTGAGGGGGAAGACCACAATAAAGAAAATACAAAAGGAGGTGGAAAGTGAAGAAGAGAAAGAAAAGAAAGAAAGGATGAGGATAAAAAGGGTGGTGGGAGAAGAAATGCTCAAAATCCATGAAGACGACCCTGACCTCGCGGTTTGCTCAATCCTCATTTTGGGGAAGCTCAAGAAGATCCTAGAAGAAGGGGTGGAGGAAGAAGAAGAAATCCTCCAAACGAAGATCGTTTCGCCAAAAGAAGTGGCGAAGGAATGGAAGAAATGGCTGCCATCGGCTGAGGATGAAGTGCATTCTTTGCTCACGGAGAAACAAGCACTTCTTCCACTCGCAGCTCAAAAGGTCACAGACTTCATGGAAGAAGCCAAAAGAAGAGGAGTGAAAGTTGAACTCATCCCTTCAAAGTTGGTGTTTGCCAGGAAACCTGGCAAAAATGGTGGAAAGCTCAAGGTCCGCTGGGTGATCTGTGGAAACTTTGAGTCCAAACAGCCTGAGGAAACCAACTACTCAGGTGGTGCTGATGCCTCAGCATTCCGAATTATGATCCTACTGGCGGCAAGACACCAGTGGGAAGGCACAAGTCTCGACGTGAAGACAGCCTTCTTGAACGCTGAGATGACGTTCAAGGATGATGAACACTTGATGCTCGTCCTTCCACCCACGTTCTTTGTGGAACGAGGCTTCATGGAAAAAGACACCTACTACCTCCCTCAGAAGGCGGTATATGGGCTCAGAAGGTCTCCACGCCTATGGGGTGAACATCGCGATGAAGCGATGAGGAAGTTTGAGATCAAGGTCCAAGAAGAAGGAAAAGAAAAGAAGATGAAGTTGAAGGCGCTGGACTCGGAGCCCAATCTGTGGAAAGTGGTCTTCGAAGAAGATGAAAGTGAAGAAATGAAAGGCCTAGTGATGACCTACGTCGACGACCTGTTCATCGTGGGACCTCAAGAAATCACAGAGGCCATTCGTGAACATGTTCAAAAGACATGGACCACTTCAAGCCCACAAAATGTCTCCGAAGTGCCGATCAAGTTCCTGGGGATGGAAGTGTCAAAAGAATGGGATCACCAAGCTGAAAGATTTGCCTGGTTCATTTCCCAGTCCTCCTATGTGGAAGACCTGCTGAGTACAGGAGAGGAGAAGCTGAAAACCAGAAAGATCCCGATGACACGAGACCAAGCCTCGATGGAACCAATAGAAGAGATGCCATCACAGTCACAAATCCGCTCAGCCCAAAAGGTGGTGGGTGAACTCTTGTGGCTGGTCACCAGGACACGGCCAGATCTGATGTTCTCAGTGTCCAGAATGGGAGCCAACATCCTGAGAAGTCCACAAGCTGTCACTGAAGCAGGAATCCAAGCCAAAGGATATCTACTGGGAACGAAGACCCTCGGTCTCAAGTATCTCTTAAGAGAAGATGAAGATCTGGTGCTCAACGTCTTCACTGACGCATCATATGCTCCAAATGCCGAGGAATCCCATGGATGCTGCATTGTGGTGGTGGGCTCATGCCCCATTTTCTGGAAATCAGGTCGCCAAAGTACAGTAACACTGTCCACAGCTGAAGCCGAACTCACTGAAGTGGTTGAAGGTATGGTTGCCGGGGAGTCAATCTCGGTGATCCTCGACGAACTGGTGGGAAGGCTTCCAAGAATGGCCTGGACCGACAGCCAGTCAGGTCTCTCAATCCTGACGTCAGAAGGAGGGTCATGGAGGACACGACACCTTCGTCTTCGCTCAGCCTACACTCGCCAATGCCTTCAAGAGGGATTGTGGGGAATAGCTCACGTTCCAGGCGAGGACATGCTGGCAGACATCGGGACGAAACCTCTCACGGGACCCCGATTAGAAGACCTTAAAAAGAAGATGAACATGGCCAAGACGATGAAAGAAGAAGAAAAGAAGGAAGAGAAGGATGTGAAGCCAAGTGAAGAAAAGAAGAAAGGGGAAGGAGAATGTGGAAGAGAAGTTGAAGAAGAAACACAAATGAAGAAGGCCAAGACAGCTGCGATTTTGCGAGTGCTTCTCATTGCAGCGTCCCTCACGGCCACCAAAGCACAAGGAGAAGATGAAAAGGATGAAGGAGATATAGGAATTTCCTTTGAAATGATGGTGATGATCTACACCATTGGCGTGAGCCTCATCACGATGATCATCAGGTGGGTTGCGAAGGAAGGAGTACCGGGCCTGTGGTACCCTTCAAGGGGAAGATCCACACACCCAAGAAGTCTTCCCGCAACCCCACCAAAGACACCAAGAAAATGAAGGCCATGAAGGTCAAGGAAGGAACGAAAGAAGAGAGGGAAGAAGAAGAACACTGGGATCCTCCACGGACACCGGTGGTCCCAAGACCAAGTGGGCTACCTCAAGAGATTCCAGTCACCCCTCCAGTCACGGTGAATAAGATATCTTCCCAAAAGTCGGGAAAGAAAAGGGACACCGTCGTCACACGGTGGGTGGAACACCGTACAAGGTGCCTGATGACTGGGTACCACCACAAGACTGGATGGAACTTTCCAAAGGAAGGAAAACAGAGGAAGAAGACACTGATGAAAAAGAAGAAAGAAAGAAGGCTTTGAACTTCCGAAGAAGACTCCAGGAACTGGAGGATGAGGAGGAAAGAAACCCAACAGCATCCAGCTCAACACCAGCTGGAACCCAAGAAAGCACACAGGTGGCTGCACCAAAAGCAGCGCAAAGGGTGCCTTTCATCACACCCACGATGTACGTGCCTCCGATCCTAACGACCAGGTTCGGAAAGGCATTCCACTGCAAGGAAACTTGCGACTATCTAGTCGCTCCCCGGACAGGTGCAGTCAAAAAGTCACCATGGTGTCCAGACTGCACCCGAAGCATTGGAAGGAGGACGAATTGGAACATGTGGTCCAATTCCTGGCGCGGTGAAATCCATCCAAACAAAGCCTGCAAGAGGCTTCGCTCGGAGCCGCTGCTGCGATACACCCCGTGCACTCGCTGCACACCTTATGATGGATGAAAGAAAAAGAAGAGGTGGCTTGAGCCTAGGAGGCTCAGATTTTGAATGAAAAGAAAGTTGAGAGGAAGTTCTCTGGAATCATCAGGGACTGACGACCTGATGAAGGGGGAGTGTTGAAGGATGACACGCACACATCGAGAAGCGTTTCATGAAGACACAAACCATACTCAAGGCCACGAGCTGCCTTTTGTTCAAAAGCCAAAAAAAGCTTGGCAGCTGGGAGGGACGGTCGGTTCGCGCCATTTCGCTCGCCGTTCTTGCTGGATTGAAGTTGAAGTTTTTTAGGAAAGAAGAAGGGTCCTGACACCGTTTGGTCAGGTACAAACCAAATCCTGCTCCTCTTACAAACATCTACAAGGCAAGAAATTCATCGTAAAGGAGTTCGTTGGTGATCATCAGAGTCTTTTGGCATCCAGGCCTAAATCCGCCCGCACCGAAGGTGCAAAGGTGTGACTCTGCGCGAATCGCTATTTAGCTTTAGCTAGGGGTGGCTCATTTTCGTTTGGGATCGAACACGCATATTCTGCATCATGAGCTGCGTTTGGGAGAGGAGTGGGGTTGGGAGAAATCATTGGAAAAACATTGAAAAAACACATGGTTTTCACATATCATCTGTGTGACCATATTTCTCATTGTCGTATCATTTGTGTCACGAGGTCCATGAAAGGCAAACAAACGACTCCTCTCAAGAGTTTATATCCTGAAAAGATAATTCATGATTGCATCATTTGCATCAGCTGGTGACAACTGTACAGTTTATTACGGTTGCATATGCGTCAACTGGTTGCAAGCGTATAGTTTATTGCACGGAATGCCTGCAAATTACTGCAATTTGGACCGCCAGAAAATGTACAATTTCAAGGGGTCAAAACAATTTAATCCAATCCAATAAGGTTAAGAATTTGTAAAGGGGTCCAAATATAGAGTGATTGCAAACACTTCTCCAGGTTTCTTCATAAAGTAATATATATATATATTATATTGTTGATCCACTTCATGCTGCGTTCATCTCCAAGTTTTGTCGATCATGCACATTCTAGAGTCTGTAAAGTTTTTTGTACATTAACACTCGTTCCGACCCCCTTGAATGTACAATTTCAAGAGGGTCGAAACATCGATGAGATCCAACAATGCTTGCAAAGTGCAGGTAAGACATGACCAAACAATTTATCAAAGGGTCCAAACATAGAGTGATTATAGATGGTTATAGATACTTCTTTTATCTTCTTTTTCCTTCTCTCTGGAAGCCACTGGTGCGGGCGGTTGTGTCGCGAAGCGACCTGAATACCTCTAAGACTCTAGTCAAGTCTAATGAGTCTAATGGAATGCAAATCAAGGTCTTACGTGGTCGGGTACTGGAGTGCTGATAAGGGAATTGCCCAAGCAGTTTCTTGGAAAAAACTTCAACACCCGAACAATTCCGTAATGGCCCGTAACGGCCATCTGGACCTTCTTCACAGTCTGGGAGCCAATGTAACTGCCCATGGAGGCCCGTGAGTCCACTGCAATGATGATGCCACCTTGGAACCTGAGACATGAAAGTCACGAAACTGAGCTTCAAGTCGCCCAACCCCTCTCCCAAAAGAATCCCCTCAGAGCTGTCAGCGGAGGTTGCTCAAAAGAACGTGTCTTCCATTCCAGCACCCGAATCAATCTCTCCAAGCTCCCAGGCACAAAGCCCAAGGTGGTGGTGCCTTTCATGAAATCCATGAGCTTGGGCGCCTGAATGTCTCAGTGAAGTCTACACATCTGGTCCAAGGATCTCAGAACTCAAAGTGCTGAACAAAAGAAGGACCTTTGAATAGGACCCTCACCTCACCTTCTTTATGTCTTCTTTTTTGCCATCATCCTTTGCCACCTGCACAGCCTCCAATTCGGCCTCGCCGGACTTCTTGATGTCCAGGCAGAAGGACTTGGGATTGGCCACCGGAGCCATGGCAAACCTCAGAGCTCGCCACATCGGATCGAAGCGATGATGAGCATTGATGAGCTGTGAACAAACCTGGAAAAAGACTTACACATCGCATTCGATCACAATTCCAAGCTCTCATTGGCCAGCGCAAGGTGATACCAATATGGAAAGAGATGGAGTGAGTACAGTGTACTACCTGGACTACCTGAGTTTGTAGAAAGATGCATTGCCTGTGAAGCATTGCTGAGAAGTGCAACCTCAATCTGATAGGTGGCAGCACATGTCATGGTGAATGCTGGTGGTTGCAAGTGCAAGTATGCTTTGGAGAAGAATACAAATGGAACTTTGACTCTGCTCACACACACACACATCTTCGGTTGGAAAACTAAACAAATGTTGCTCATTCAATCCGTGGAATCCATGGTTTAAGGTTTGTGGTGCCCATGTACGACGCCTGCTGTCACAACCATGACTTTGAGGCATCCAACACTGGTGTGGAATTCAATGATGTGAGAAATGAGCTGGACTGAGCTGTTGCTTTCATAAAGAGCATCATATCATATGTCATATGGCTTGGCTGCCCTTGTGGCTAAAATGGGAAGGAGCCTTCAATCCACAATGGCGCACTTTCTAAGCAGCTTGAGCGCACTAAGACAGATTGGCACAGTCGAAAAACTACACACATTTCTGGTGGCGTTCGACAGGCAACTCACTACTGATCAACCAGGAAGAAAGTGTGGTTGATCTATCCGAGCAAGTGATCCCTCTTGCCCGGCAAATGTCACAATTCTGGTCTTGAAGCTGTCAGCTCACATATGCTTTTGTCCAGCCAAGCAGGATCACAAGCTTCGTCAATTTGGTGAGACCTAAAACTTGGCATTCGGCTCACCCTCCAAGTATCCAAGTGGGGATTGGGCGCATTCTGCACGGGGCTAATGGATGCTTCCTTGAAGAAGCGCTCGCACTAATGATTTGGTTCCTAAACAAAATGCTCTCGTTATTCTCACTCATAGGAAGGCTCTGGAAGTGCATGGATCGTGGATCCGCGGACATTGGAGGTTGGGCTACATCAGTGGGCAATCTTTCATCTTCCGTGAGGGTGCCACTTCCCAGGCTGTGTCAAAGCTCCGCAGCAGGTCGCCAGTGTCCTTGGAGCGTCGTGCTCCCGGGAGGAAAACAAAGCATTTGTGCAGTAATTACTGTACACACAATGTCAATGTGCGGATAAGGAATCTGATAAGGAAGCTTTCAACTACAAACCACACCTGTCGAATCGAATGCTCCGTAAAGTGCCCAGTGTACCCAAACTTACTTACTGGCGTGACAAATATCCAGTTGAACAGCAAACTAACAAATGAACTGGCGCATTGTTTCACGGGGATGGACAGGGCCTTGTTTAAATGATCTGGTGATCTCATCTCATGTTGAAGGGCTTCCAAACTATAGTTTCCATTTCCCTTCAGCCAGGCATCCCCTTCCAAGCAAAGCTTGACACGGAACTGCACCTCACCGCGTCCGCCAGAATCTATGAGCTGCATGCGGAAGTGCCGGCAACTGCAACACCCTGAAGGCATCGTGTCTGTCCAACAAGTCAATTATACAAAGGATTTCTCGTGGGCGGTGGTCAAGCCATGTCAAGCCTAGTGTCTGACCCTTCATAAATCCCTGTTAAACTCAAGAGCGTCATCGATGTGCAGTGGTTTCGGGAGGTTTTGGTATTGGCTCACCTCCCTGGCATTGATCTTATTTCGATGCAAGGGGTGGCTACCACATGTCGAGTCGCATCATCCTCATGTCAGTCGCTACCGGAAAGGAAGTTGCATCACCCCAGCTTAGTTCGCATGTTGGTCGTTGGTTCCACTTTGTAATTGTAGCCAAAGCCCGCATTTACTATGCGGGTCCAATGAATTTGTCTAAGATCAAAGTACTCTTCGTCCAAACATCAAAACGCTTTGACCCAAGAGGCCAAAACGGCAAAATCATAATATGACCTTTTCGTCATGTTCCGTGAGGCTTACATCCAGGATTTCAATACAAGAACAACTTTTAAAGATCTTTAACGCATTGTTTAAACAATTTCAGACATGTCTTTCTGCAAGGAAACCAATCATATCCTACACCTTTCTCCCAGGTGAAACAACATAATATACTGATACTAGTAGTGTAGCCATGTGGAGAAGCCCGCACCGAGTCAGTCTGTGATGGGTATTTCGAGCCAGCAGAAATCTTTCGCTAGACATGCCCCATAGATATCAATCCAGGACTTGCCTGCCACTCGGTCCAAGTGTTCCTGAAATGAGGTCTGCAAGGCATCACAGCTTGAAATCTGGAGGAGCTGCAAAAGACGAGAACCTCTATTGACTCTGCTTCTGGAAGAAGTGTAGTCTGCAACGAATGACAACTGGACACGCGCACCATCTCCAGGTCTACACCATTTCACATCCCTGACCTTTGGAACCCAAACTGCTCCCTCATGCGTAAAGCTCGCCAGAGTCGTCAAATCTGAGACCGTGGCCCGGAAGGGCGGCCCAAAGCCCTGTGGGTTCAGTTCTGCCGCCGTTGGCCGAGGATCGTGCACGCTTGGCCTGACTTCGCGCGTTTCGCACGTGGCACCAGCTTCAGCATCGGGGCGGGGCTGCCGGTGGCCGTGCACCTCTGCATAGGTGGGCCGTGTGTCACGGTGAGTCGCGTAAGCAGGCTTGGGGAATGGATAGCCCGGATAGTTTGGGTAGCCAGCATAGCCGTGTGGAGGCTTTCGGCTCTCGGGCTTTGCATAATTCGCATATTCAGGAGATTTCTGGGTGTGGGGTGAAGATTGTGGAGGCTTAGGCGGCGAGGCCCGAGCCTTCTCAGCTTGTTGACTCTCAGCTTGTTGCCTTGCAGTTTGTTGCAGCTGAAAGTCATAGGCTTTCTTCTTCTCTTCATCACCGAGGACCTCATATGCATCGGCTGCTTCTTGAAAGCGCCTTTTCGCCTCTGCGCCGGTGCCCGCCTTGTCCGGGTGCCAACGCAAGGCCTTCGCTCGGAAGGCCTTCCGAATATCGGCCGGTGAGCAGCCTTGCTCCAAGCCAAGGACCGCGTAATGGTCGAGGATGCCCTCGAAGTGCTCCATCAAACGCCTTCACCTTCGTACCGTCGTTGCAACGGCCCATGATAGGCGAGATTTTGATATTTCAAGAGCCAACGCTGCGAGCCAAGATGGAAAGAGACGGTATAGATATGCATCGATTGAATGCACATATCACCACAGAATGCGTAAGTTTGGAGTCAATTGCACAGCTTGATGCCCGCTATCCAGCAGCCTTGCTTCGGGCATCATATTGCAGTTCTCTCCAATTCACCCAAACTACTAGGAACAAGAAGCTACTAGGGGCAAAGGGCATCGCTACTAGGAGCAAGGACGCTACTAGGGGCTCCTGGCCTTACTACTAGGAGCAAGGACGCTACTAGGTGCTCGGGGAGTCCCATCAATCCTGCTTATGACTAAGCTTGCGAACGCCTGCGGCTCGCATGCTCGCAGGTCGGCCAAGTTGAAATTATCTGCGCCGGTGCAAAACGCTCACAAACAGTCACAAATTATTGACCTGGCTGGGAGCTCTTTCCATTGGAGTGTGACAAAGGATTCTTGGCATGCAAAAGCTCAGTTCCACTTTTACACGCCGCAATGTAATACCGTACTGTGCACAAACAGAATCAATCCATTGCAAGAATATCCACGAGGCTGTTCTCCAATGGTCCAAAATCATCTGACCCCCTGCCTTCATCATCTTGGTGATATCGGCTCTTGCTGAAGATGGAGGGGTCCTTGCAGACTGCGGCGCGGCTGGCATGCTGGACTTGACCAACAAGTTCAAGCCACTTTTCATCTTGAAGGTTTGTCGCTGTCTGTTTGTCCGCTGAACCATTGCTTGACATCATTCAACATATATATATATATACAGAACATCTACAGCATACAGCAAATCCCATATTCAGCAAATACCCTAAAGTGTTGCACCGCAATTTGAGCTCTCCTCCATGAAGGACATGTCTACTGCCGCCACGGCCATCTTGCCTGGGGATGGAGCCCGTGGTAGCTTTATTGCTCCTAGCAGTAAGGCCAGGAGCCCCTAGTAAGTAGCGAACATTGCTCCTTCCCATCTTCTATTGAATCAGGTAATAACTCAGAAGGTTGATCGAACCGCAAGACAGTTCGATCTCTTGGGACAATCTAGAAACAAACAAACACAGATTCCCCTCCACTGCAACATTTGATAACATGCTTTTAAATTGCACCCAGTTCAAAACTATACCAATGACATCCAATGACTAAAATGCATAGACAAAAAAAGAAACTGGCTTGTATTGCGCCCTTTTCGAAGCCACATTGCCAGGCTTGCAATCTGATAAGAGTTTTATAAGGAAACAATTCGTGCAGTTTGCGATCCGAGTTCCAAATACAGTAAAATCAATTTAACTTCCTACAAATGTCATAGTCAGTCATATGCCTGACTCAAAGTTATGTCCAGCTGACAGGAAAATCAATATACTTTTTCCCCGAACTGAACTGAGGCCTCAGTTCTATTCCCAGGTCCCAGTATATATATATATGCAAAAGGGTGGGTCAGAAGTAATTTGAATGAGGTATAAAAACACTTTTAATGTTTGAGCCTCCTTGCAAGCAAGAAGAGCTCTCCAACACATATCACATATCTATATAAGTACACGCACGAGGCTGGACTTAACTAGCAATTCCAGCAAAACGTGGCCAAGTCCTGTGCCTCTTTGCTTCTAGGGCTGGGCTCCGAATTTCTGCTGAGCCACGGATGGCTTCCGCAAACGACATTGTGAAGACGGCGCTCAAACGCTCTCAAAATGGAGTTCAAAGCGACCTCCAATTAAAACCATGTTGGGTGGTTTTTGATCTGAATCTATCTGCCAAACTGCTTCCTTTCGTCACTTATGTTGTAAATCTTATGAACAAACCTTCGGTCAAAGCAAATAACAACTGCACCCTTAATTTCAGGGGCAGTGATACATCATGATACCATACATCACCCAATCCAATGCTTCCTCACGCTATGCCATCCCTTCCGCTCCTTTTTGCATGCAGGCGCAACTGGCCCGTTTTCGGTGGAGAATGATTAGAGCAGCCACTAATTAAGTGTGGCGTTGGCAATGCTCTGATCGAGTAAGCTCACAACGGTCGACATCAGTTACAGTTACAGTACACTATAGGTAAAAACGAGAAAGCAGAAAGTGCACCTCCTCCTTTCAAGCACCAGTTCCTTATTATGTTATCTGTTATGTTCACCGATGTGTTTCTTCCATGAGCCTGCTCAACGAGTCCAATTCCGGAGGCTCGGAAGACGGGAAAGCTTCCAAGCACAGTGTGGGCGGTGGGCGTCCATAGTTTGAAACACGACAATTCAAGGTCCCTTTAATAAGGGCCCATAAGATTGCCTTTCAAGGGCCTTTATTAGAACTCATTGTCTTTTCTTGTCATCTCCTTTTTTGAAACATATACTTGTGTGCCAATCTTCATGCGTCGGTCCCAAGTGTTGGCAATGTCCACATTGTTGGATTCTGGCTAGGAATGCGGACATGGAGATTCGGCTGACAAATACTTCGGAATCAGGACATGTAACAACCTCTGATTACCTTTACCTCGCTTCGGTCAGATCAATAGCGTGTGGCATGTCGTACAGTATTCTTGTGGAATGAAAAAAGAGGCATCTCAAACAATGCGATGTGAAGATCGAAGGGGGTGCTGGTCTCAGCAACGGTCAGTTGAATATCCGCACGTGTTATAGCGGCACCTGCCCTTGCAAAAGAGCTCTGGTAGGTTCAAAGCTTGCTTCCGAGAAAGAATGACAACAGTTTCCAGGAAACACACTCTTTATGGAATTAGATGAAATTAGTGACTTGTTTCTTCCGATTCTGACTTCAGACTGAAAAACATGGACATACTGTCACACTATGTGACTGCATCAGTGGCCCCACAAACTCTTGTTGAACTCGAAGGAACTCGAAATGGATTGAGTTGTACAGGGGACAAATGAAGGACTTTGTGGGTACCTTCGATCTGCTTCGATATTTCTAGCTTAGGGGTGCCCACTCCACCCACATGCTATTGATCTATTGTCCATTGTCCATCACATTCTCTGAAACTCTTGACGTTCAAAGGATTTCTACCATAACTGAAGAATACTCAGTTATAAGTTATACATATTAACAGATCAGCTTTTTGCAAACACCACCTGCAGGCCCATTTACGACTTCTGAAAGAAAGAGCCCACACCGGCGAAACTTGAAACACTTCCGTCATCCGAATTGACATCAGCGACTCTCACCGCCTGCCGCTGGGACCATTCTCTCACACGAGGTTGCATGTTTACCGAGCAAAACCCAAGTCATTCCTCACCAAGAACTCCAGTCTGACTTTGGGAGTTTCAATTTGAGGCCACAGTGCCCCTATCTCATGCCATGCAAAGCTCTTCCATCAGTGGCACGAGTGCCATTCCATCGACGGTATGCAAGAATATTCAAGACATGCAAAAACAAAGGTGGGCCAAACGTAGTGAACAAAATAAAGGACTATTAAGGTCAATGAACAAATGAAATCCTCCACGGCGGGAGAGACAAATACGCATCCAGATACGACAGTGGCAAGGAGTGCAGAAGCTAGGTCCCGAATCTGACCGTAGCGTCATAGGGTACCATAATGACATGGCAGGCACACACATCGGGATAGGCCTCAGAACGCAGCGCAAACCGAGAGCAATAGGCTATGTTTAGGCTGTCCAAACCCAGAACTCTGCTTCGTATGGTTTTCGACCGCTTCTTGGAGGCTTTTCCTGGGTGGGTTGTCATCGACCAATAGCCGGAGCAATCGAGCCAAGGATAGTAGGAGTGTTTGCAGAAAAATCAGGAAATTCTCTTACATTGTCCAACATCTTGTTGACTCCTATTCGGGCCACCAACCTCACAATCTCTGAGGCCCAACTCGCATGCGCAGGTGTGGAGGAAGTGTCACCCTGGAGGTGGCGGGTTCAAAGTCTCAGGAGCAATGAACACCTAGACCTAAACAACAAGGACGCCACTAGGGGAGGCCATTACTACTAGTAACAAGGAGGCTACTAGGGGGGGGCATGGCTATTAGGTTGGAGGCCATTACTAATAGACTACCAGTAACAAGGACGCTATTAGGTGGAGGCCATCGCAAGTAGGTTAGAGGCCATTACTACTATTAACAAAAAGCTACTAGGAGCAAAGGTTTCTTTCGTCTCTTTCTCGCTCAGGACTCTCAGAAGATCTTCAAACAGAGTCCCAACCTGCCCGCTTCGGCTAGGGCTTGCTGATGTGTAGGCGCGGCCTGGCCAGGTTTGTTGCCGCTTTGAGAAACAGGCGTTCAATTAAGCGTTGTGATCGAATCATAGTCAGTATCCCCATGCACAAGGTTGACCCCTGAAACAAACCTGAAACAACCTTGCACCCGTGCGCTTGGGAGGCGGGTATCTTGAAGCATTTGCAAGCAATCTATATAAATCTCGTCTTGAACTTGAAAACACGATTAGAAAAGCAAGCTTTCCAACTACCTGGGGCTAATGTGCAAGCAAACTGTCCCACTGTCCCTAGAGGAAGAAATTGTTTGGCCGGTGTTAGTCTGTCGGTGTGTTTTTCATTGCTTTTCAATCACCGAGAAAGGACCCACTGCTACATCAGTCTCCGGCCCAGAGTCAGGCAGCCGCACTGGCTCGTATCGATTCTGTTTGGAGACTTTGCCACGTCGCTCCACCGAGGGGTGACCTGAAGGTGTTAGAAAGTTATTTATGCTTTCGGTGACAGGATCGAATGAAGTCGGATGCCAAGTGAATTTATAGTTTCGACCCCAAGCCTCTAGGAAGTCAGAATGACACGGCGGTTGTCCCACATGTCTACTTTTCTTCTATCTAAACATCGAAAACAACGCTGTCTTACAACCATAAGAATCTGTATATTATCTGTGTATCCAAGAATTAGTTGGCATCTTCATCCAACCTAGGATTTATATGGGGCGCGGCTCTCAAAGCGCTGGATGGCTGCCATGATGGCCATGGCTCTGGCCTCAGATGCAGGGTCGTTGGTCAACTCGGGGGACACCAATGGCAACAAGTAGTAGCGTCCTTGCTCCTAGTAGTAAGGCCAGGAGCCCCTAGTAGCGGTTGTGCTCCTAGTAGCGAGGCCAGGAGCCCTAGTAGCGTCCTTGCTCCAGGAGCCCGTAGTAGCGTCCTTAGTAAGGCCAGGAGCCCCTAGTAGCGTCCATGCTCCTAGTAGCGAGGCCAGGAGCCCCTAGTAGGGTCCTTAGTAAGGCCAGGAGCCCCTAGTAGCGTCCTTGCTCCTAGTAGTAAGGCCAGGAGCGTCCTTGCTCCTAGTAGTAAGGCCAGGAGGCCCTAGTGGCGTCCTTGCTCCAAATAGAAAGGCCAGGAGCCCCTCCTAGTAGCGTCCTTGCTCCTAGTAGTAAGGCCAGGGGCCCCTAGAAGCGTCCTTGCTTCTAGTAGTGAGGCCCTGAGGCCCTAGTAGCGTCCTTGCTCCTAGTAGTAAGGCCAAGAGCCCCTAGTAGCGTCCTTGCTCCTAGTAGTAAGGCCAGGAGCCCCTCGTAGCGTCCTTGCTCCAAATAGAAAGGCCAGGAGCCCCTCCTAGTAGCGTCCTTGCTCCTAGTAGTAAGGCCAGGGGCCCCTAGTAGCGTCCTTGCTTCTAGTAGCGAGGCCCTGAGGCCCTAGTAGGCCAAGAGCCCCTAGTAGCGTCCTTGCTCCTAGTAGTAAGGCCAGGAGACCCTAGTAGCGTCCTTGCTCCTAGTAGTAAGGCCAGGAGCCCCTAGTAGCGTCCTTGCTCCGGGTAGTAAGGCCAGGAGCCCCTAGTAGCTTTTTGTTCCTAGTAGTAAGGCCAGGAGCCCCTAGTCCGTAATTGGAGTTCATTTATGCAAATTCCTTGTTTAATCCCTGTTGGAAAAGCATCGAAAAGCACGATCAAACATCGAAAGGCTTTCGTAAGCTGATCAAATGATGCTTTCGAAAGCATCTCCTCTGCGGTCCTTGTCCGATCTTCTCCTCATTCCCCGGGCATCGAGATCGACTTGCCTCGTCTTTCAGCCAGGCTTTCTCCACTTCCCAGGCACGGCTCACCACCTTGCACAGGAGGGTCAGCTGTTCTCGCAAAGTACCCTTGGTATTCTGAACCTGTTCCTGGAAATTCCAGCAACTGAATCTGTTGAGCTGATCAACCTGCCAAATTACCAGCAATCCCTTAAGCTTGAAAGCCACGGAAAATGGGAAAAAGGTCGGAGAAACAAGTTCTTTCCAAAGGTTCAAAGGCCTTACTACTAGGAGCAAGGACGCTACTAGGGGCTCCTGGCCTTACTACTAGGAACAATCCTGGCATCGCTACTAGGAGCAAGGACGCTACTAGAGAACCCTCGCTCACGCCTGGCCACAGCGGCAGGTCTCCATACACCGACCCGGCGGCTCAGTATCCCCCGGCGGCACCTAAGGATGCAAAGGACAACCTGGTAGCGTCCTTGCTCCTAGTAGTAAGGCCAGGAGCCCCGAGTAGCTTCGTGTTCCTAGTAGCGATGCCCTTTGCTCCTAGTAGCGTCCTTGCTCCTAATAGGAATGGCCTCCAACCTATATAATAACGATGCGATGGGACAAAGACATACAAAGAGTAGTTCTACGAGGTTCTAGCTTTGCTTCAGGCAATGTGGCTGATCACTTGAGGAAAAAGGCAAACTGTGTCTGTTTGACTCTCATGACCTGCTGTTGGCTTAAGCTGAGATTGGATACTGGCTCTACACCTGATCTTCCTGGTTGACTGTTGACTGTCGGGACATCCATGTGTTCATGAGACCACCACTCACAACCCTTACACCCGAGTCACTGCAGGTGGCTGGGCGTTCTTCGGCGGCTCACCTGCCCGCTTGTCATGGGACCAACATCACTGAGCCTTTCCAGTCTGATCCAGTCTCAGTTCCCATGGAAATGTAGATGGACGACTCTTCCCCAATAGTTTGGGTGACGTCCCAAAAATACGCAGACTGGGTGATCGGTCACTAGGTGTTAGGACCTGCACTGCACAAGGTGCGACAAACCGAATGCAACATACAGAGTATACCTGTATAGCTATATAATGCGATATACATAATATATATATACATACATACCTGTCCTGTACTTGTGATTGATCTGGGTTGCATGGTCATGCATGGTCTCCAAGGATGGCTTTAAGCTTCATGTAAGAGAGCCTGCTTCCCCCTACTTTACTAGAATGAACTGCCAATCCGTTGTTGCTCCGCTTGCCTCAACAACACATAAACTGACATCCCCACTGTCAGAGAAACATTCGGGGTGGGATGTTGTTGAGGTGTCAAAGGGTTTTGACGTGGTTTTTATCCCTTCTGCTGAGTGGAGCACGGACACCCCAAACCAACGCCCAGGCCATGCTCAGAGGAGCCTCCCGGCACCCAGCCACCGCCGTCGCCAATCCAACCTGGCGAGGGGACGGATCGGCTTCTTTTTTTCGGGTCCTTGCAGGTCCTTGTGGGTCCTTGCGGACTCCCTCGAGATGTTTCAACTTCGAAGAAAGGTATGTATAGTGAGTGCAGTCCAGTGGCAACAAATACATGTTCAAGGTGCATCGAGAACCTTGAGGGCAAGTCCTTGATGCACACAGCAAGTGATATTGGCAACGGTCTGACACCTATCTGCCCGTAACACAGGGCTGCCAGCCTGGAACCAGCTCATGAGGCATCCTCCTCAGCAAGCCGGAGTGCGGTTCAGGATGATTCAAGTAACAAAGCTCCTTAAAGCCACGATGTTTCATGTCATTTGCGATTCGAGCAACATGGCATGGCCCGGCCAAATTGCAAAAGGATGTTGCACGATGTTCCCCACTTTTTACATCACATCTTTGTACCCCACTTCAGCAACTTAGGCTCCAAACGCTGCCGCAGGCCCCGTCCTCCATCCATCCTTTGGGTTCGTGGAGTAGAGCTCCGACCCACCTGGGCAAAGCCCCACTGCCCGCAGCTTTGAAAGATTTGGCCAGGTTGCAGATTCAATCGGCAAGTACTACAGCACTGGACTCGTGCAAAAGAACATCTAATTTGCCATTAACAAGCACATTTGTACATTTCCAAGGAGACCATATTTTTGTGCAGCCGAACTGTGTCTATGTTCAGCATTTGCCCACCACACTGTGACCTTTGTCGTGCGAGGACAGAAATTGAAGGGGATGCAAAAGGCAAACCAAATGGAGCAAAAGCATGGTCGCTCCGAACGCGTTGAGCCCTGTCGTCTGTTCTGCGCAGGCCGTTGGGCACATTTCTCTATCATTGCACGAGGCAGTGGCAGCGTGAACCGGAGCTCAAAGGACCCTTTTTGGACATGATGCGCTCGTGCGCTTGAGCCAAAGTCGTGGCCGATGGTCTTTTGACCAAAGCGCATGCTAACCGGAACTTTGCACTGACCAAACTTTCTGTTGGTTGGATCCCTGGCGCTCAGCTAGTTTTCGTTGAAGTGAGGCTCCCTCCTCAAGGATGCTCCAGCGACCTTGCCTCATGATGTGGCGTAGGTAGTCACTCCTTGCCCTCCTTGGTAAGACAGTCGGATAGCACTGTTCTTCCATCTACCCAGCGAATTTGACCTTGTAGGTCACTGAGTTCCTGCTTGACCAGGGAGATGTCGATGGAAGTTCGTTTGTCTTCACATCGAGTGGTAGGGTTGGTATCCTTCTTGACTGCGTCGTACAGGCTCTTGGAGTCGGTGATGCGTATGAAGGGAACCTTGGCGACTTCATCCTGCCATTGTCTCGCTGACATGGTGTGGCCTTTTGCCTCCAGGATGAGAATGCGGTACCAATGTACCGATCCAAGTCCTCTGACCAGAGCCTGGGTCTCGGAGCTCAGAGTGTTCACGGTGCGGCGCTTCAATCTATAGCTCTTCCAGGAAGCCAACGTCACATTCTGAGGCTCTTGCGGTGAAGGAAGTGCCTCATCGTAGAAAAAGGTGATTTCTCCACCCTGGCTGTACAACTTCAGGAGCTGTTCATAGCCTGAGTGGATCTGCTTGTGATCAAGCAATTCCCCATCCTTTCGCTTCCAAAAGGTAGTCTTCCCCTTCCATGGTGCAGTGCTCAACGACTTCATACTGGAAGATGTAGTCCATTCGTCGTCGATCACCATGGTCTTCCCATCTTGTTGGAGTTCTGTCTGTCTTTGGCTGAGAATTTGGTGCATATCAGGTCCATGAGGTGCTGCAGCAGGATGAAAGGCTGTCATTCGTGCTCCATAGTGGTGCCGAACCCATTGAGTGGGTGTTTCTTCCCACCAATCGACTGTGCCCTCTTCAAGGTAGGTTCCAAACTCACGGGCATTACCCCATGAGGCATCGGTAATGACGCCTGCTCGTAGGCGTGTCATTGGAATTGGCATCACTTTGATACCCAATTCAGGCTCCTGTAGAAGTTCTTTGGCGATGTTGTTCGCGGCAATGGCATCCTTGATCATGGGTCGAGGGAAGGCTTGTTGGATCAGTGCCACCTTTCCTGCAATGTCAGCTCGGGTTTCTTTGGCAATCCAAGATACTTGGATGTGCGGTTGGGGTTATAAGTAGATAGCCTGGTTGTCCAGCTTATAAGTGCACTTACTAACCAACATAGCCTACATACTAAGTCGAACTTAGTCGGACTTAGTGTTGAACTTAGTGTTGAACTTAGTTGGACTTAGCCAAGTGGCCTATGTTCAACGTGTTGTACTTAGGTCGAACTTAGTCCAACATAGCTAAGTGCAACTAAGTAGAACATGTTCAAAAAAAATCACTTGGCTAAGTTCGACAAGTTGGACTTATGACGCGCCAAAAGTGCTGATACTGTATCTAAAAAAACAAAAAACATAACACTAGTGGAACGAAAACTAAGATAAACATATTGGTTTGCGATAACCATAAATCAAAAAACGCAAAAAAACACATTGTGAGAGCTACAAAAAGCGGAACACAAACATATTTTCGGCTGTTGAGTATGTTTAATATATACCCGCAACGCAACGGTTGCAGTGGCGTTTTGGGTATATATTCAAGGCTTTTGACCCTTCCATGAGCATGACAAACAACCATTGGAAGTGCTATATCCTTTTCGAAAACATATATAGAGTGATCCAACCAATACATATAGAAAAACAGTCAGGAAGAGTGATCACAAACAAAAACACATCGCACAATATATACATTAAAACCATATGAGGAAGAGTAACACAAAAAGTAACACATACAGAAACATGTTAGGAAGAGTGATTCCAAAAAAAACTACATGGTGCATATACAGTTTATATTCAAAAATAAAACACATCTTACGTATAGAAAACAATGTTAGTAATAATGATCCAAAAGAACGTCCTACATATAGAAAAAATGTTAGTAAGAATTAAAGTTTTAACACAACGTGCATATACAGTGGAACCATATTAGGAATAGTGATCTTTACAAAAATGATCTTAAACTCTGCGCGCTTGTGTGCCACCATGTGCAACCACAAAATGTGGTTCTTGCAAAGTATGATGCCACGTCGAATATCCAAACAGAAGGCTATATTCCACGCAAACAATTCCACAGTCTATAGTATACGACGTTGGAATTGGATTTGAGCCATGGAGTACTGCATGAAATGAAATCATATATCCGCATCCCGTGAGTTGGATTTGGCCTGGGCATTGTAAAACTGTCAGATGAAATTAACTGAACATTGACGCAGTTCAGCATTGATATACATGGCAAAATCACTTCCGGATGTTAGATAATCAAACTTTAGAGCGTTCAAGATAAAACATAACGATACAACACACCAATCGATGTCAATCTGCCATGCCCTGAATCCACCTATACTGCCTGTTATAACCTGTGTCAGCGAGCCGGTGCAAGGAAACACTGTTGCATTATACCACACAATTAGAACACGTGTCTCGCAAGGGTCTCAATGACACATAAACAAAACACATAAACACAAACGAAAAAACACATAAACAGGTCACACTTGCGTAGAAGAATCTGGCATGGATGAATTTCCCGGTCGCCGCACGTTTTTTTTTCATTCTCTCTGCTGCATCATCAGACTCGTCATTCCTGGCAAGTGCTCGGCTCGGTGGGATGGAACAACGGATGAAACAAATCACTGCAAACTGGTTGGCAGGGCTTGGCATTTGCGGTTTGTTGTGTATATCTGAAATTCTAGAACTACTTTATATCCAACAGCAAGGAACATCCTATATATAAAAACTATTAAGAACAGTGATCCCAAAAATGAGCATTAGAATCCTGGTGCGGCCAAAAAACGTGGTTCTTGCGACCAAACAGAAGCCTATATAATCATGGACCCTCTCCTGACAAACGTTTCAATTAATGAAGCGCTATGTATACGTTTCGATGTTTAATTGAGGAACCACACAATTGTGTCTCGCAAGGGTTTCAATGACATGAACGCACTCACAAAAAAAGAAACACAAACGAACAAACATATAAACGAAATATGTGTCTACTATAGGTCACATCTGCGTAGAAGAATCTGGCATAGATGAATTTCCCGGTCGCCGGCCTCCGCAAATGTCCAAACACCTGTCTCCGTCATGTCTGCGTTGGATATAGCCTGGCACTGCCAGGCTATATCCGAGCGCGCTCTAGCGGAACGACGCGGGGTGTGCTCGGTGGGATGGAACTATAATGGATGAGCAGGTTGGAACGGTATATACCCTGAAGGGTAGATGGCAAGAAAGATCACCCAAACCATATAGGCATTCCATCCTACCAAATCAATTGCCTGGTTCCATGCAAGTGTTCTATATATATATATATATTGCCTCTGTATCCCGAGTGCCTGGCACAAAACCAGTGATGGAGAGGTCATAGATCCAGTGAAGGCATAGATCCAGCGAAGGCGAGGTCGTCGTTGGAGGCCTCTAAAGAAGTTGAACGCTTCGTGCCATTGAAAGCTTCGTGCCATTGAAAGCTTCGTGCCATTCCATCGTATGGTTGGATATACAGGTGTGGTACAGTATGTATATACAGTATGTATATATACAGTATGTATATATACAGTATGTATATATATACAGTATGTATATATATACAGTATGTATATATATATACAGTATGTATATATATAATGTATTCGGGCTCCGGATCAAAACAATCAGCCCTCTGGTGTCTTCAGCCCTCTGCATCCCTCAGGTTTGGTTCCTCTTCAGCCCTCTGGTTCCCTCCCTTTTGCTGTGAGAAGAGCTTTATACTAATTCCACAAGTCGCGCCCGCACATTTAACACGTCCTGGATCGTACTGAGAAGTTCACACGGAGGGGCGCCTGCAGGGATTAAAACCACCAAAGTTTCATTCCTTTCAGGTACCGGGAGCAACTCCCACTGACAGCGTCGAGGAATGAAACAGACAAACAAAATAAACGTAAACATGTCTGAACATGTCTGAGCTGTATGATGCGTCCCCTGTGCGGCGTCCCCCTCAGTGGCAACTCCTTTCAGCAAACAGGTCGAGGATTGCGTGAAACAAAGCAAACAACTTCAATCCTGCGCAGGAGCAATTCCTTCCAGCAAACAGGTCGAAGATTTCCGTTAGAATTTTTGAGGCACAATCTTTACGACTCCGTTTGGCAAAGTGTGCCAAATGAGGCAGCCATTCACGCATCTTGTTGGATACCACTTCTGACTCTTGTCAGGACGCAGTTCATTCACCCCTGACACTGGCCACACCGACACGCATGTGAAAGCTTTACCATTTTGCAAAGCATGCATCTCAACTTTGCCAAAGTTGACTTGACCATCCGTAGGATCCTCGAACAAGACCACGTCTCCAGCCATGCAATATGCACCGGAAATAAGAACAGAGTGGTGCGACCAAAAAACGTGGACTCATAACCCACATTTGCAGGAGCCGCTGCAGAGGTGGCTCAAAGTAGCACACTGCGTCTCGTAAAGGGTCAAGAGCTTGGAGCGATAACGTGGTC